GATGAGTGTAGACCGCAGAATCCTGGCCTGATGATGTTGATCTTCTGTGTTGGGCCATCCTTTTGGCCAGTGGCTGTTTTGTTTCCCCGATGTAAGACTGATCACCCTCCTGACACTGAACAGCATACACAATATTACTCTGTTTGTGCCGGGGGACTGGATCTTTGGGATGAGCCAGCATTGCCATAATGTATTTTGGGGTTTAAAAGCCACTGGGATGTTATGTTTAGAAAATAAATGTCTTAGTTTCTCCGATACTCCCACAACATACGGAATGACCACTGGTCTGGAATCCTCCTTTTCACCTGATGGCTGACTGGAGTCCTGTTTGGGTTTCTTCTCTGCTTTCAGGAAGGCCCAGTTAGGATATCCACATTGCTCTAGAGCCTGTTTTGTGTGGGATTTCTCCTTCTGCCTGGCTCCTGAGTTAGTGGGGACACTGTCTGCTCTGTGATACAGAGTCCTGATGACTCATAACGTGTGCTCCAATGGGTGATGGGAGTCAAACTGCAAATACTGGTCTGTGTGGGTGGGTTTGCGGTACACCTCAGTTTGCAAATGTCCTCTATCATAAACTGAGACCTCACAGTCCAAGAAAGCAAGCCTGCCATTTTTTATATCTTCTCGTGTGAACTTGATGCATTTATCCACAGAGTTGATGTGATCAGTGAAATGTAGGACTTCCTGAGATTTAATTTTAACCCAGGTGTCGTCAACATACCTGAACCAATGACTTGGTGGTGTCCCTGAAAAGGACGTCAAGGCTCTCTTTTCTACCTCCTCCATGTACAGGTTGGCAACAATAGGAGAAACTGGAGACCCCATAGCACACCCATGTTTCTGCCTATAATATTGCTCCCCATATGTGAAGTAGGTTGACTGCAGGCACAGTTTCAAGAGTTGACACAATTGTTCTGTGGAAAGTGTGGTCCTGCTGCTCAGAGTGGTGTCTGATTTTAATCTTAAACTGACCACCTCTACTGCATCATCAACAGGAATGCACGTAAAGAGTGATGTGACATCAAAAGAGATCATTGTTTCATCAGTCTCCATGATGACATCCCTCACCTTATCCACAAAGTCCATGGTGTTCTGTATGTGGTGTTCTGAGCTGCCAACTAAAGGGATGAGTAGATGCAGTAGAGGTAGTCACTGCCTTAGCTGAATGAAGCTTTTTTGAAGAACAGAGTTGATCTGTTATTAAACTTAAAATCTGCATCTAAAATTATCCCGAGATTGGTAACAGGCTGTTTTAGATATGGCTGAAGGGAGTCCAGGTTTGCAGGATCAGTGACAGTGACAGAACTAGGGTTAAACACAATGACCTCAGGCTTATGATCATTAAAACTCAAGAAGTTTGCATCAAGACATTTTAGCAAAGAGTGAATGGAACAGGAACTGTTAGGTTTCAAAATCTGAGAATCATCAGCATAACAATGACAGACTATGTTTCCTCAGGATAGACCCTAAGGGGACCAGCTACAATGAAAACAGAAGGGGTCCAAGAATGAAGCCTTGCATGACCCCGTAGGAAAGAGGCACTGAAGTAGATAGAGTGTTGGCAACATTAACACAGAAACTCTTGTCGCTCAGGTATGAACGGAACCATTCTAACGCTGCACCAGTAATCCCAACCCAGTGTTCTAGCCGAGATAAAAGGATACTGTGGTTCACAGTATCAAATGCAGTGGTAATGTCAAGGAGTACCAAGATCACAGACTGACCAGAGTCTTTTGCCAGAAGAATGTTGTTGGAGACCCTAACTGTTTTGATGCTGTGTAGCTGTTTAAAGCCAGACTAAAAAATCTCAAGAATAGAATTTCCATTCAAGTACTCTTTTAATTGAGTCAAAACTATTTTCTCCAGGTTCTTAGAAAGAAAGGGAAGTTTGGAGATAGTTCTATAGTTTGAGCAGGTTTAACGGTCAAGTCTGAGTTTTTTAATGAATGAAGTTACTACCACATGTTTAAAAGCGTTAGGAACCACAGCTGTAACTATACTGCTGTTTATAATGTCAAGAACAGAGGGTCCAATGGAAGGTAGGACTTTAAAAAAAAAAAAATGTAGGGATGGGGTCAGCAGGGGAACCTGACGGTTTGATATGACCAATGACATCATTTAGAAATGAGATGGAAAGGGGTTCAAACTGGTTAAAGACTGCAACAAAGTTCATGCTCAATCATCCAGGTACCAAATCCAATAATTCTCAGTCGGGTTAAAGACTGCTGTGGAGGGAACAAAGACAGAGGGGTCAGCTGTGGTGTGAGGAATCAATGACCTAATCGACTCAACCTTTTTAACAAAGAAACTGGCTAAATGTAGTGATGTAGAGACAGCTTTCACTGTAACATAATACTAATTAATTATTCTTAAAGCTAGTTCAAGCACAAAGAATATTAATTGTTCAATTACAACGGATTCTTTCTTTTTCGAGTTAAATTTTTTCCATGTGACCAAGATAACTTGTGGAGTGGAGTGGTAATTAGTGACATGAGACGCCATTTTATCTTTGACCCATCAGAATAAATGCGGTCATTTATTTAACAGAATCAACATTTAACATCAAACATGTACACATTGATTTGCTGATCTGTTTCTGATTAATAAACTTAGCACGATTTACTAAACAAGACAACAGAAGATTACTGATTGAGACTGATTCATCTCTGAAGGCATCTAGCTTGATTTACTGGCGAATAGAGAAGTTTAAAGAGAAGGAATAGATTTAAGGAGGAAGTTTAGATGGATGAAAGTTATGTGTTGAACCAGAAAATGGCACCCTTCCTCCGAATCCAGCTCAGCCCTCCGGTACACTTCAGGGCAAGCAACGACTTTGTTACCTTAGCAGAGGATACTTCAACTCCGGAACAGAGGTCCATTGGCACGCTCCCTTTTCAGCGTCTCCGGTCAGAGTGGCTGGGGTCGTCAGAAGTCATGACGAAGTACTCAGTTCAACAGAAAACGCTTCCTTAGAAGTTGAGAGCATGTAATGCTCGGGTTGAGTGCACAGCGATGCGAGCTGTGACTCCGCTGAAATGGAGGGACCCATGGCACATGGTCCAATCCATCAGCTATTTTGTTCAGCTGTAAGACTCCATCAGACGGAGTCTCATCTTCGACTGAAAGTTCCAGGAAGACTGGAAAGCCTCGAAGACTGGAAAAGACTGAATAGTTCCAAGAAGTGTTGCCTTTTAAAGGGTATCCACTTCCTGTCACTTGGTACTTCCTGATTGGTTGAAAAAACCAGCAGGGGTGTAGTTTTAGTGATGTCAGAGGGTTATTAGAAGTCAGGAGACAGTAGAAATGTTTTAAGAACTGTTAGTACAGACAGATAAATATTTTGAAGAAATGAGAGAATGCAGGTGCCAGCCAGTTCTTTTTTACTGTCTGAGAGTTTTAAAACAAGGCACTTCGTTCTCATAACTTGTCTCTGACTTTCACCCTCAAATCCACTACTCCTCATTCAGACAGAAGACTAAATGCACACTTACTTCGTAAATAGACATTTAACTGTATGATCAAAGTCTAATGAGGTTTAATAATCATTAATACTGTTTCACAGTTGATTTAAATGAGTGGTTTACTTCAACATTTAGAAATGGTATGAACTAAACACACTTTTTATTATCAATATATTGTAAAATAGTTAATGATAATATAAAAAAGAAGAGTGTTCTTTCAATTGATTAATTCAGGATACAATTAAATAGTCTCTTGTTAAGATAATTTGTATTTCTGGATTCAAATCAATGAAATAACAGTTCCTGTCCCCTGAAGGTCTTCAGAGACAGATTGATGTCGGAGGTCTAGTTCACTACAAAAGTCATCGCAAGTAACTGCAGAGACCTCCATGTTGGCAGACTGAGGCACGGTTAAAATGGTGTTAATGGTGCTGAAAAGAACACATGGATTGTGGCTGTTGGAGGCGATGATGTGGGAGAAATATTTGTTTTTTCTGACTTAACGGTGGCCTGATAGTCTGTGTAACATGTTTTTAGCATAATAAAAGAAACATGAAGTTTGTCCTTCTTCCATTTACGTTCGGCTTTCCTACATTGACATCTGGTTGCTCGGGTGATCTCATTCAACCAAGGGTGTCGAGTGCACTTCGGATGCCTGATTTTTAATGGGGCAACTAGGTCTAGCACCTTAGCACATGTCTCTTGATGTGCAATGACTAGCTCATGGGTGTTGATGTAAGCAGAAGATTCAGTAACTGAGACAGAGTTTTTAGTAAAAGCAGAGGAAAAGAGCACAGCAGTGGAAGGGTTAAATATGCAACAAGGCCTGGCTGGAGTGGGAGGGGATTTGGACTTGTTGACAAAAGAAATGTTGAAAGAAATGGGTTTGTGTTTTGAGAAAACAGCATCCCCAATTTCTAAATCAGAAACAGATAAACCATTGGTTAACACTAAATCCAGTGTGTGGCCATGCTTGTGAGTTGGTAATGCAACGTTCTGTACAAAGTTCAGAGACTGGATCAGATCTAGAAAGTCCTGAGTCAGCGGCTTTCCAGGGCAACAGACGTGTATATTGAAATCCCCCACAATTAAGACCCGATCATATATGAGCAAGATCCTAGTTAAAAAGGTCAGAGAGTTCATGAAATCCTTATTATATTTGGGTGACCTGTATAATACAGCATAAAAAAACAGGATTTGAATGGCCCACCTCAAAACACAGCAGTTCAAAGCTCAAAAAATTAGTTGGTATCAGTTTGCAGCTCCAAAGTTTTAAAAAATAGTCAATAACCCACTACCGTTACCTGATATTCTTCGAGCATTAAAATAAGAACAGTCCAGTTGTAAAATTTCCGACAGGGCCATGAACTCACCACAGGAGAGCCACATCTCAGTCACGCAGAGGAAGTCCAGTCCAGTGGAGGAGGAAAAAGTAATTCAAGATGAACGTTTTATTGGCCAGAGATTTGGTGTTTATCAGGGCAATCCTTGTAGGAATCACAGCAGCAAAAGTTGTCCATGAAGTTAAGACGAGCGGTCTCAGATTTGTGGAGATCGACCGGTGACTCCAACGATTGGAAGCACAGCCAAGGCCAACAGGTCTGCTGTGGAAGCCTGACTCGACCTGCGAAATTGGGAAGGACTCATGTGGATCAGCTCAGCGCCAGGACAAGTGATTTAAGATGTGGTCATCAGTTGAAGAGGAAGAAGCAGCGACAGCACGACAGGCTTTGATTCTCACAAGCCGGCCGGCCCGTTTTCCACGGTGCCTGGAGCGATGTCTTCGAGTGGGCAGGATACCAAGGTGGAGGCAAACAGGGACATCTTCAAGCAGAGATGGGGGTCCAAGGGGGGTTACAGAGTTATGATCATTATGATCAAACAAGGCTAGACTGGTGGCAAATAGTTGGAGATGTAAGAGTTGATGATGTCCATAAACCAGTAGTGAGCGGATGTTGTAGATGAAAAATGACAAAAACAGAAAAACGCAATCACAGCAGACAGAGGTAAACGGCAGGCCACGTACAGTGGCGTCATCTTCCCCTGCCGAGTGTTTAATATGGAGTGGACATTGATAACAACATATTTTTTCACTGAGGTCCAATCAAAGGCAGTATATATGCCAAGAAACTGTAGCAGTTTTCAAAGAGTAAACTATCAGCTGTCACTTTTCTAACTGCTAACTATGCTAGCAAGCCTTTCTCTGATAGCAATTTTTTTTTTAAAAATAATGCATGGTAAAGACAGCAACTCTGTAGTGAACTTAACCTGATGTCAAAACTGACCAGATGGATAGAAACTGTCATTTCATTGATTTGAATCCAGAAATACAGTTTGACCCATCCTGAGACTTTCTTTCTTGAATTAATCAAGTAGAAATGACAATTCTCTATGATCATTACTATTTTACAAATGTTTTGATAATCAAATTGTGTTAGTTCAAACAATATTTACAGGTTGAAGAGAACTACTCATTTTTATCTACTTAAACAGCAGTAATGATTTTTATTCCTCATTCAAAGAAGAAATCAGGGTAATATGCATTTCTTGATTTTTCTGTCTTCAATGAGCAAGTTGTAAGTGTGTTAAAGTTCAGGTTTCGGTCAACTAAGAAGTTTACTGAAAAGAAATGTCATGTTTAACTTTTACAGCAAGATACTGAGTAGAGACTCCACGAAGTCTGGTTTTCTCCAATAATCTTTCTGTCTGTTTTAAACAATCTTAATCTCTATCCTTGACTTTCCATAACACCTTACATCACAAACCACACCTCTGTTCTGGTCCATCCACGAATCAGAAAGCTCTCAAATGAACCGGAAGTCGAACCCATTTAAATGTGGCAACTTCCCAGTTCTAAAGAGTTAAGTCGAGACGAGACGAAAAGAGCTTGAAAGAGTGGGAGACGCGAAGAGTTCAGAGTTCTTGGATGCAAACGCAGGCATTCAGGATGCTTCTATTAGAATCAAGCTGATCCAGAGACGATGTTGGGAATTATAACTTCTGTTTGGATAACCTCACACGACTCCTAAGGGTTTTTAGCTGTCCTCACGGAGACGCTGAAAAGAGTCAAAAGGAGAACTCTACACCGACGCTGATTCTATCATCTGCAAGGTAAAAGTTCTATTTCGACCAAGCGTACCGTTGGCCAAGCTGATTTTCCAAAGAGCGTGTTGTTCTGGTACTACAGATAAATTCCCTCACACATCTCTCTGTAAGATAAATCTCCATTTTCCATCTTTAAACTCTCCTTTCTGCTAGAAAATTAATCCAGATGTTTTCATTAATGTCTGTGGTGAAGCAACGGAAAATCATGGCCTTATGGTTTTCTTGTTTGTAAAACTGATTAATTGATGTCTGCCGTTTTAGCTGAAAAGTGAAAACAATCGCCGTATTGTTCTCACTTCCTGTAAAACTATGCTGTTGTTATTTTCATATTTTGCCAAATTAATGTAAATGTTTGATGTTAAACTTTGATTCTGTAAATAAATGACCACATTCATTTTGATGGGTCAAAGATAAATAACGTCTCTCGTTACATTTCTGTTAAATTCAATGCACGCATGCTACACAGTCAGAAAAATGAAGAACCCGTTTAATGTATGAATATATCTCAGCATCTGTTCATACTACAACTCTATTGTGTCCGGAGAGCCAAGGCAAGTTAGAAAAAAATCAGTTTATCACGCAGGACTGTGACTTGCCTGTGGAACTAATTGATAAAGATAAAGCCAACAAAATAAACAAAAGGCAGAGTCTCCTGATGCATGCTCAATAATCTAAGTAGAAAAATCTAAAAAAGTTAAGTCTGGTCATCTGGACATTCAAAAAAAACAAAAACAAAGCAAAACAACAAAAACAAAAAAATGTAGAAACGTTTCGTGATGTTTCGGATGAAAGACAAAACGTTTCTACATTTTTTGTTGTTGTTGTTTTGCTTTGTTTTGTTTTTTGAAAGTCCAGAGGACCAGACTTAACTTTTTTAGAAAAGGCAGAGTCCTTTAATGCCCCTTTTCCATTAGTAACGGTACAGTCCGTCTAGACTCAACTCAGCCCGGTTCCAAGGCTTTTCCATTAGTAACGGTACGTAGAACCTGCCCTTATTTTCAGGTCTCTTGGCGCTGTGGTTCTAACCCAGCTGAGTAGGTATGAAAACGTGATGTCAGAACACTGTCAGTCACTGATTGGTCGGGGCGGAGTCACTGGATCTTTCAGAAACTTTTTAAAACACTGATCCACCATTTGCAATTTCTCGGATCGGAGTAGCGGCTGTACCTATTATAAAGATGTTAAAAACAATAATGACAACACCTTGGTCTAATGCTGGCGTTTTTTGTGCTTGGTGGCCGATGACAAAATTCAGAGTGAGCTGGATGGAGCTCTGCTAGTCTACCCCGGTCCTCGCCCCTGGAGACTCGGAGCCAGTCGTCATCTTACCATACCATACCATACCATACCAATTTATCTCTAAAGCACTTAAAATACAACAAGCAGCCGTATGAAGTGCTGTACAAAATTAAAAACAAACAAAAAACAGTAAAACAACAAAAACACCTAAATATATATATATTAAAAAATATTCAGAACATAATAAGTAAAAGAATACAACATTAAGACACAGATGCTAACTCACTCTAGGTTAAAAGCCAATAAAAAAAATGTGTTTTTAAACGAGTTTTAAAAACAGAGATTGACGGGGCCTGCCTGACCTCCAGCTGATTCCACAATGTAGGAGCCAGAGCTGAAAAGGCTCTGGCTCCTCTGGATTTATAAAAGGTTTTCAGGACTGCTAAAAGCATCAGTCAGAGGATCTAAGAGCATGTGATGGTATGTAAAAGTGAAGCAGTTCAGACAAATAAGAAGGACTAAGACTGTTCAAAGACTTAAAAATAAACAATCGCACTTTAAAATGAATTCAAAACTGGACAGGAAGCCAGTGAAGGGACATCAGAACTGGAGTGATGTGCTCATGCCTGCCTGTACCAGTCAAAAGTCGTGCAGCAGCATTTTGTACCAGCTATAACCATGAGAGAAAGGCCTGGCTAACTCCTATCAACAGAGAGTTACAATAATCCAGGTATGAAGTAATAAAAGCGTGGATTACTGTCTATAAGTGGTGTCTAAAAAGGAGGGGCTTGATTTTTGACAGGCGCATCAGCTGAAAGAAAGAGGACTTAACCACATTGTTGACATGGCAGTCAAGTTTCAGGCAGGGGTCCATTTTCACTTCTAAATTTATCAAAATGGATTTTTCATATGGGGCCAAAAAGGAAAAATCCAATGTGGAGAAACTGCTAGGGCCACAGGATTTAAAGACCATAAAATCAGTCTTTTTTTCATTAAAATGGAGGAAATTAAGTGCCATCCATCCTCTAATGTCATCAAGACAGTCCAGGAGAGACTGAGTGGAGCCATTTTGTTTCAAAGGGAAGTAGACTTGACAGTCATCTGCATATAAATAAAACTGCACACCATGCTTTCTGAAAATAAAACCCAGTGGCAGAAAGTAAAGAGAAAACAAGAGAGGACCAAGAATAAAGCCCTGGGGTACCCCCCAGGGGAGGGCAGCAGAAGCAGAGGTAAAATTATCCATCATCACATTGAAACTTCTATCAGAAAGGTAGGACCTAAACCACTGCAGAGCTGAACCAGTGATGCCCACCCACTGCTCCAGTCTGGAGATGAGAATGTCATGGTCGACTGTGTCGAAAGCAGCTGTTAAATCTAAAAGCACAAGTAAAACACAGTTTCCAGAATCCAGTGCTAAAAATATGTCATTAAAAACCCTTAAAAGAGCAGATTCAGTGTTGTGGTACATTTTTAAAACAGACTGGAAGACCTCCAAAATTTTAAATTCATCCAAAAATGCCTTCAGCTGGGTGTAAACAACTTTTTCCAAAATTTTGGATATAAAGGGTAATTTGGAGATTGGCCTAAAGTTTGACAAAGAGGATGGATCAAGGGCAGGTTTTTTCAACAATGGCTGCACCACAGCATGTCTAAAACTGCTTGGTACCACACTAGACATCAAACTGCTGTTAATCACATTTAAGATAAAGGAGCCAACAGTACAAAATACCTCCTTAAGAAAATATGGAGGAACATCATCAAGGGGAGAACCCGATGATTTCATACTGGTGACAAGTTTCTTTAGATAGGAGAGGGAAATAGGCTCCAAATGATCAAAAACAGCAGGACAGGGGACCAGGATGGAAAGGTCAAGGGATGGAAAAGAGATACAAGCCCTAGTGTTAATAACCTTGTCCAAGAAGAAATGAAGAAACTTCTCACAAAGTTCTCTGGATGCTTAAAGAGGGACCGGTGTTGATTGTATTATAAAGAACATGCTGGTTGTGAGAGTTAGCAGCAATAATGTCAGAGAAATATTTTACTCTGGCTGTTTTCACAGCTCATTGATATCGACGCCAACTCTCTCTCAGTACATCAAGAGAGACTTAGAGTTTGTCCTTTCTCCACTTGCGTTCATTTCTCCTGCATTCCTGTCTAATGGCACGGGTATGGTCACTCAACCATGGGTCTGATCTTGGCTTTGATCGCCTGGTTTTAATCGGGGCCACATCATTCAATACAGTATTGCATAAAGAATCAAAATATAAGGAAAGCTCCTCAGTGCTGAGAGACAGAGAGCTGTGACTCTAAATGATTAAAGACAGTGGAGAAATGGGCAGCAGAGGACGAGTTAAAAACATGGCAGCGTTGAGCAGGAGCACAGGACTTAACAGGTTTAGAAACAGGAATAAAATCAAATAAAACAGGCATGTGGTCTGAAAACAATGCATCACCAATTTCCAAGTTAAAAATAGATA